CAGCTCGGAAGGCAGAGGCAGGTGGATCTCTGTGAGTTCGAGGTCAGCCTGGTCTACATGGGAGCTCAGGACAGACTCCAAAGCTACAGAGAAATCCTATCTTGAGAAAAAGCAAAGCAAAACAAAACAAAAAGTCTCTAACCTAGGCTGGGCATTAAATAAATACCTAACAACTCCTCACTAACTCCTCCCCTGCTCCCCACTACCTCCTCCCCTGCTCCCCACTACCTCCTCCCCTGTTCCCATTACCTCCTCCCCTGCTCCCCACTACCTCCTCCCCACTGCCTGCTACCTCCTCCCCTGCTCCCATACCACTGATTTTACACCTGCCTCATGCTCAGTAACTTCTCCACTTTTTCCAGACTAGGAGAGAGAGGGAGGGGGAGGGAAGGGGAAGAGGGGATGGGAAAAGAGGGGAGAGGAGGAGAGGACGGGAGGGGAGAGGAGAGAAGAGAAAAAGGAAAAAGCATGAATGAGCTCAGCATCCCACCTCCATCTCTGCTCCATCTCCCCCTTGTCTCCTGGATCTTGATTCATCAAACCACCCCCTTCTTTTCAACCTCGGTCTCTACTGGCTTGTCCTCTAAGGGAAATAAACGCAGGCCAGTCCCTTCTACTGAAGGAACGGAAAATAGAGAGCATTGAGAGGACTCAGGGAAGAAAACAAGGAGGGGGAAAAAAGAAAAGAAAAAACCCTCTTCTCCACTCTCAAGTCTCTTTCACAGAAAAGGATATCTCGATTTCCTCTCTCACTTTTCTGTTTTTAGTTTGGTTTGATTTTTGTTGTTGTTGTTGTTTTTTTTTTTTTTGTTTTTGTTTTTCGAGTCAGGGTTTCTCTGTGGTTTTGGAGCCTGTCCTGGAACTAGCTCTTGTAGACCAGGCTGGTCTCGAACTCACAGAGATCCGCCTGCCTCTGCCTCCCGAGTGCTGGGATTAAAGGTGTGCGCCACCACCGCCCAGCCTTGTTGTTGTTGTTTTATTTTTAACCTTTATTTGTATTTTATGTGTATGGGTGGTTTGCATGAATGTGTGTGTACCACATGCATGCGGTGTCGATGGAGGTGAGAAGAGGGTGTTGGATCTCTTGGGACTGGAGTTATGGTTGGCTGTGAGCCACTATGCAAGTGCTGGGAATCAAACCTGGGTCCTCTGGAAGAGTAGTTAAGTGTTAACTGCTGAGTCTTCTCTCAATCCCTTGGTTTGATTTTTTGAGACAAGTAGATGAGGCTAGCCTTGAACTCACCTTCCTCCTACCTCTGCCTTCCAAATGCTTGGATTTAGTATCAAGCTTGGTCCTTTTTTAAAATTAACTTTTTATTTTCAAAGTAATAAGTACAGACCTCTTAAGGCAACAGATAAGGGCTGGAGGTCTACCTTAGGGATAGTGTTTTTTCTGGCACATACAAGACCCTGAGTTCATCCACAGCACCATATACACACAGAACAGAGCCATAAGGTGCTGGAATATTCTTTAGTGTGGGTGGTTGTGGGTGTGTTTGCTTGGGTTTGTTTTTGTTGTGTTTGGTTGTTGGGTTTTTGTTTGCTTGCTTGGTTGACTGGGTTTGGCTTTTCTTTTTTGTTTGTTGGTTTTTTCAAGACAGGGTTTCTCTGTGTAACAGCCCAAGCTGTCCTGGAACTAGCTCTTGTAGACCAGGCTGGCCTCTAACTCACAGAGATCCACCTGCCTCTGCCTCTCGAGTGCTGGGATTAAAGGCGTGCACCACCATTACTTAGCAAATAGTAAATCATGTTTTCTTTTTTGTTTGGTTTTTGTTTTGTTTTTTATTTTGGTTTTGGTTTTTTTTTGAGACAGGGTTTTTCTGTATATCCCTGACTATCCTGGAACTTGCTCTTAGTTCAGGCTGGCCTCGAACTCACAGAGATCCTACTGTCTCTGCCCCTGCCTCCCAAGTGCTAGGATTAAAGGAGTGTGCCATGTTTGGGTTTTTTTTTCTTTTTGTTTTGTTTTTGTTTTGTTTTTCGAGACAGGGTTTCTCTGTGGTTTTGGAGCCTGTCCTGGAACTAGCTCTTGTAGACCAGGCTGGTCTCGAACTCACAGAGATCTGCCTGCCTCTGCCTCCCAAGTGCTGGGATTAAAGGCATGCACCACCACCTCAGGGCTTGGTTTGTTTTTTACTTAGTGTCTCATTATATAGCTCTAGCTGTCCTGGAACTCCCTGTGTAGACTAGGTTAGCCTCAAACTCACATAGATCTGCCTGCTTCTGCCTCCTGAGTTCTGGGGTTAAAGGTGTGCACCACCACACCCAGCAGCTATAAGGTTTTAACAAGAAGAAGAGTAGGCCCCTGATTTCTTTGTCCTTTGAGGGAACAACTCTCTGCACCTCCTTCAGATGTCTGAGGACAGTCACCCCACATCTCTGAACATACCCGTTTTGCTCCTTCTTGACTTCTGCTTTCAGCATCATCTAGCGGATGCCCAGCTGTGACACCACGACACAATGCTGTCATCTGCAAGCTCATGCTGCAGACTATGCTGTAACTGCAAGATCAAGTTGCAAAATAAAAATTGCAAACAAAACAAAAAACTACATGATGGGAGGAGGAGGGAAGGGAGGGGCAAGAATTTTTTAAATTTTCATAATAGTTTAAGTAAGTTTATGGTTTTATAGGCCGCATTGAGAGATGAACGTATAGCTACAGGCACAGGTGGCACAAATCTGGCAGAAGGTGAAGGTGGCGTCCATCTTTGTCCCTCCTGATCATCATACGATGCTTTCCGTCCTGTCCCCCCCCCCATTCCTGAATATTGTATCAGGTGGGGCCAGATCAATGTCCGGTATTGAATTATGCCTCTGTTAAGGTTTACAGAGGCCTCTATGGCCCTCCCTCTTTTTTGTACAACTTTGTTTCCCCTGAACAATGATCGTTTGAAGTTTGCTTATTCTCCAAATTCATCATGAATTCGGTCCTGTGCTCTTTTCCAAGAGTCCACATTTCAGTTCTTTCAAAACTAAAGATGCTCATCCCTTTCATCTCCTTGAAGACATAGCTCAAAATCTTTCTATTGAACTGGGGTTCATGGTCACCTCTTATGAATGACCTCGACCTCAGCTCATGGATGTCCTAGCTGCCTCTTAACTAGGGAAATCTGACAGTCTATACAGACCAAAAATGTCTTTATTCCGTCTTCCTGGTCAGGAGTTTAGCTTTGTGAATCTCTGCATCCCCCTTAAAGTCATTCTCCTGAGGTGACTCTTAGGAAAGGCCTGTATTTTCCAGAGGTAGGTGAAAACATGCGGCTAAGTTCCCTTTGATGAACTATGAGCCACTTCCCAGCCAGGCCCCTAGTACAGGTCTCGTCCTCCATCTTCCTCTTTTCCACCAGCCTCAGCCGAGGTTTCACCATACACGCAGTGTTTCTCGCATTTCGTTGTGCACACAAGTCACCTGGGGATCTTTCAACACAGACAGTGATGCAGTTGGCCTGGGGTCTGCGCTAAGACTGCCTCTCTGATGAGTCTCAGTGATGCTGACATCCAGGGATACAGGCTTACCCAGCCAAGACCTTAGAGGACAGCTGCACTGCCAGCCTTGGCCCTTGTGTGACTTGTGGAGCACACTGAGCTAACTGCCTGCACCTGTTTTAAGAGAGAATAAATTAAAAATTTCACTGAGAAAAATGCAATTTTTGCATTTTTATTTAGCTTTCACCCTAAAGTAGCTGGGGTGTGGAATTCTGGATTTGGAATCAGCCCTGCCTCAAATGTTGAAGTCCTGCCCTTCTCTTAGGAATGGGTGTCACTTTAAAGAGGCCCTATACCAGGCCGAGCACTGGCAGGTAGTTTTCTTTCTCTCTGGAAGCTTCCCTGAGTCCTTTTTGTTGAGCCTGGTGTCATGATACATGGATCTGTTTTCCTCCATGGTGACACTGGGCTCTTACATCCAGAACAGTTCTTTTTCCTCTTCATTCCTGTGATCGCATCTAGAATTTAAGCCTACTGGGCTACTTCTCAATTGCTATTTCTTGTCTACATTTATTCTCTCTCTCTCTCTCTCTCTCTCTCTCTCTTCATTTACTTTATTTGCATGAAGAGTTCCCCAATTTCTCTTCCAAGGTCTTGGAGACTTATTTGTTGGAAATGGAAAACAGGGTTTTTGCCTTGGTGGGCACCTGGGTACAACTGAAGGGGCAAAAATGACAGAGGGTCAGGCATGGTGGTGTGTGCCTTTAATCCCAGCACTTTGGACATAGAGGCAGGTAGAGTGGTGCATGCCTTTAATCCCAGCACTTTGGACATAGAAGCAGGTAGATGTATCTCTACAAGTTGGCCATGTGTATGACCCTAGCACCTGGTAGGCAGAGGCAAGAGGGTCAGAAGTTCAAGTCTCTCATTGATCATGGAGTCCACCATTTTGACTAGACTGACCTGCAAGCAAGGCCTTGGGATTGTCTCTACCCCTGAATCACCAGGGTTACAGATAGACACCACTGACCCGGGCTTTTCCATGGGTTCTGGAGATCCAAACTCAGGTCCTCACAGGCTTGCATAGCAAGCACCTGTCCAATTGAGCCATCTCCTCAGTCTTCTTTATCTCCCTCAAGTTAGGGTCTAAGCTCAGGCTGGGTTTGAGCTTGCTGTGAAGCAAGCCAAGGATGATCTTGAACTTCTGATTCTCTCACCTCTACCTGCTCAGTGCTCAGATTACAGGCACACTCCACACATACCCAGTTCTATGAAGTGCTGGAAGTCAAGCCCAGGGCTTCGTGCAGGCTAGGCAAATCCTCTACCAACTGCCCTTAAAACATCATGATTGTTGAAGGTGTTACCACCAAGCCCGACAGCTTCAGCTCAAGTTCCAGAGCCCACATGAGAGAGAACTGACTCTTTCCTAGTGGTCTCTGCTCACCACATGAGCACCGTGGCAGGCAGACACACCTGTCTGTGAATTCTTGCTCTCTCTCTCACACACACAGTAAATAAATGTAATTTAAATTAAAAAAATCTTTGTCATTTTATTAGGCTCTAGGAAAGAACAATTTTTTTTTTGAGTGAAAGCTCATGATTTTATTGTCTTCATAACAAGGTCAGCTTAGAACTGGATCACTTGGCCCTTTCTCTTCTTATCACCACCCAGTTCAAAATGCTTGCATCTCTTAATAGCCAGCATCCTCTTAGATCTGCAGTTGGGCTCCACACACTCCAGTCTCAGCACAATCTTCTTTGTAGTTTTTGCCTTTTTGTGGAAAATGGGCTTAGTCTGCCCACCACAGCCACTCTGTTTCCTGTCATAATGCCGCTTTCCCTGGGCATACAAAGAATCTTGGCCCTTCTTGTACTGGGTCACTTTGTGGGGTTGGTCTTTGCCACATTTCTTGGAGAATGTACGGCGGGTCTTAGGAACGTTCACCATGTTGGCGGGTGCGATATCGGCACAGTGGAAAGAACAAATTTGAATGCTAGGTCCATCAAGTGTAACTGAGCCGTCTGTCATTCATGTACTATTTAACCCTTTGCAAACTGCATCTGTTACTATTACTGTTGCTCCTCAGGCTCTTCCGGGTGTTGCTTTCAGGACTTCCTGCGTAGCAGGCGAGTGCACTACCATGGAACTATTTACTTCCATCTCTGTTCACCATGTGGCCCTGGCTTGATATGTAGACCAGGCTGGTCCCAAGTTCACCGAGATCCACCTGCTTCTGCCTCCATAGTGCTGGGATTAAAGACATGGGCCACCACCACACCCACAACCAGCAATATTTTCATTCTTGACCTCTGTAAGTCTCAAGAGTACTCTTAAAAAAAAAAATAAATCTGGTCATGACACACTTTCTTCAAAATACGTTTAGAATTTCTTTTCTTTTTTGGTCTTTCGAGTCAGGGTCTCTTTGTATAATAGCTCTGGCTGTCGTGGAACTCGCTTGCTTGGTAGACCAGGCTGGCCTCGAACTCACAGAGATTAGAATTTCTTTCATTTTTAACAATATTTTTATTAATTTTTTTGAGACTATCATACAATGTATTTTTATTATATTCATACCCACTACTCCATTATCCACCCTCCACCTTTTTACTTTGGTGTGTGTGTGCGCGCCATATGTGTGCAGGTACCTGCATGGAAGCCAGATGAGGACATCCAATTTCCTGGAGCTGGAGCTAGAAGCAATTATGAGTCTCCTGACGTAGATGCTGGGAGCTGAATTCAGGTCTTGTGCAAGAACAGCCGGTGCTCTCAGCAGCTCAAGCCTTCTTTGTGCACCCCAGGATGCATCTCTTAGCTTCTGAGTCTTTTCCTGATCTCCCTATTTCAGCTTCATGTCACCCCTCATCACCACCAATAACATTCCGTTCACTCCACTGAAACGGAACTTCTTACTGGACTCTAACCGTACCAGGCCTTTCACAGTCCCATCTCTTGGAGGATACTGTCCCCTTTCCCACTACAACCTCCCATCCACCTTAACAGCCCTTTAGAATTCACTGCAAAAACCACCTCCTCCAAGAATCCTTTTTCTGGGACTGAAGGAAAAGCTCAGTGGTTAAGGGCACTGGCTGATCTTTCAGAAGACCCTGGTTCGATTCCCAGCACCCACATGGTGGTTCAGACCTGTCAATTACTCTGGTTCTAGAGAATCTATGCTCTCTCTGATTTCCATGGATAATGCATGCACATGGTGAACAGACATACATGCAGGCAAAACACCCATATTCATAAATAAATAAATATATATTTTTTTAAAAAAGCTTTGCACCTGCGCTAACAAAACACTGGAATGAGAGAACATCTCGTTTGCCTTTCTTTCCCTAGAGCCTAGCGCCTAATTGGCAATCAGAGATAGAAAGGAGGGAGGAAGGAGCCAGGACCCGAGAACCAGCTGGGCTCAGGATCAGGATGAAGCCTTAGGGAGAATGGTTTACACTTCAAGTCAAGCTTTCCTTGGGAGAGGCTGGCCAGCAAAAAGTCCATGGCTACACAGTATGGAGGAACACACTAGAATTTCCACCATCCTCACCTGGCACAGGACCAATGCTTAATCTTATGAACTCAGTAAATTCTCCAGTGTCAATTAAATCTGACAGGTCTGAACGGCTTTGGTCACAGGCTGTTTTAGTGGTGGCTCACACCTTTAATCCAAGTATTCGGGAAGCAGAAGCATTGTTATTCAACTTGCGGGGGTGGGGGTAGGTGTGGGGGGGGGATGAGCAAAACTTGTGCTTAAATCATGTCTGGGCACAATACGCCAATTAAAAGAGCCAAATTAAGAGTGGAAAGCCGAGAAAGGAAACTTACTTAACGTGGCAACCCGGGGAAGAGGGACAAAGAGACCCCTCAAGTCAGCCTGAGGGTTCTGACGTAACCTCGGCGTTTAGAGGACCAAGGATGTCTACTTCTAAGCAATCCCAGTCATGGGTGCTCACATCCGCCACTGCCTCACCATTGTCTGGGCTAATTCCGTAGAGTGACCTGCAAGGTGTAAGAACTGTGTGAAATCTTCCTGGAAGTCAAGTCCCCCGCTCTGGCTGATGCTCTTTCCTTCTCCCAGCATGAGATTCCTAGGAAAATACCCATTTCTTTGGAGTCCATTGTTTGAAGTCTGATAGAATTAAGAGACACAAGAGTATCTTCATCTCTGTGAGTTCCAGGTGAGCCAGGTCTACAGTGAGACCCTGTCAGAAAACAAAAAAGCCAATACCGCCTCTTCCCACCCGCGATCCGGCCTGGCACCAGAGCCCCGCTAGTCTAGACCAGGTGGACCCGGAAGGGCGAGGCCGCACTGAGCATCTCGGGAATTGTAGTGTTCGCTACGGTGGTCTCTGCGCAGGCGCACACTAGCAGGCATTTCCGGGCCTTGGTTGGACACCTCGGAAAAGACGGCCTGTGGGACTTTCCACAGGAACCATGGCTACCTACAGCCTGGCGAACGAGCGGCTGCGCGCCCTGGAGGACATCGAGCGCGAAATCGGCGCCATTCTCCAGAACGCAGGTTCGGGGAGTGAAGAGCGGAGCTGAGAGCCAGCCGGGACTCCGCGCGCGGTGTGGGCGGGACCTGGGTGCTACTCCTGGGCGGGGCGACGTCTCCAGCTCAGTCGAACGCCGCCCTCTCCCCGCCCTGCAGGAACGGCGATCCTGGAACTGTCCAAGGAGAAAACGAACGAGCGGCTTCTAGACCGGCAGGCGGCAGCCTTCACCGCTTCTGTGCAGCACGTGGAGGCGGAGCTGTCGGCTCAGATCCGCTACCTAACCCAGGTGGGTGTGTTTAGAAGGTGCTGGCCGGGGACCCCAGCGCTCCACCTCTGCCCTAGCCTTAGGGATTCCCTGAGTTTTAGCTGGATAAGACTGCCTCTTACAAATAAATAAAAAGACTGCCTCTTACGGAGGGAGTGGGAATTGGGATTGGTATGTAAAATGAAAAAAGATTGCCTCTTATGCCGGTTTAGGCATTTTCATTTCAGGGCTGGTTTAGTTCTCTAAAACCTCGGGATTAGAAGTGCACGCCTTTGATCCTAGCACTAGGGAGGCAGAGGCAAGTGGATCTCTGTGAGTTTGAGGCCAGTCTGGTCTATAGAGCGAGTTCCGGAACAGCTAGGATTGTTACACAGAGAAACCCTGTCTCGAAAAAACAAAACAAAACAAAAAGTGCCAAGGGTGTATAAACAGTACCTAGCCAGACAAGGTGGTTTAGGCCTGTCATCTCAGCTACTCACGAGGCTGAGGTCTGAGGATCACAAGTTCAAAACTTGTCTGGGCAGTTTAGACCCAGTAGATAAAAAAGAGGGCTGGGCTCCACAGTAGGGTACTTGCCTACCATACAGGAGGCCCTAGTACGGAACAAAAAAATAAAACTGAAGCCACTGAACTTTGTACCCAGAAACTTAGCCTGCTGTTGTGTGAGAGGCCCCATATCCCATATGCTTGGGGACCAAGTAAAGGGACTCCTAGGCACTAGGCGGCTTCCAAAGCCCCTACTCTAGCTACCCTATTTACTAACATTTGCGGTGTGCTGGGCACTCTGCAGTGTCTTATCCTCCAACTCTGGGAAGTGCTAACTGTCGTCCGTATCTCACAGATGAGGTTCACAGAGGTTATGTCGTTTGCCTTAGATCACTGAGCTACTACACGCTAGAGTAGGTCAAACTCAGGTAAGAAATGGGCTCAGACACCTGAAGCCTGCTTATGGGGTGGTCAAGAGAGGCAGGGCTCCTCTGATCCATGTAACTGTTCTGTAGGTGGCCACAGGGCAGCCCCACGAGGGCTCCAGCTACTCCTCCAGGAAGGATTGCCAAATGGCGCTAAAGAGAGTGGACTATGCCCGCCTCAAGATCAGCGATGTGGCGCGAACCTGTGAGCAGATGCTGGAGAGCTAAGTCAGGATGGTGCACTGTGACCTGCACCTGGGACAGAGCCCAGAGACCGGTAGGATGGGAGCAGAGCGATACATACATGCCCTACTGGTCAGGGCAGACGAGGACCATGGGGCACAAAGCAGAACTGGAGACTCTAAAGCCCAAGTCTGCCCACAGACCTGTCCTGGCTCCTCCAGCAAGATGGCCCTGCTTTCCATTATGCAAGCTCAGACAGGCATCAGAGACGACTGCCAAACCCACTTCCTCATGCACACCCTGCCCTTGAGTTCCAGAAGACTTGGCCCAATAAAAATATTTTTTTAAGATTTACAAGTATAATTATTTTTTCTCATGTCTGTACACCACATATATGCAGTACCTGTGGAAGCCAGAAGAAGGCGTTGACTCCCCTTGGAAATGGAGTTACATATGGTAGTTAGCCAATGTGGGTACTGGGAATTGAACCTGGACCCTCTAGAAGAGCAGTCAGCACTCCTAACCTCTGAGCACTCTCTCCAGCTCCCCAGTAAAAGTATTCTCAGCGGATGGTGGTGGCACATGGCTTTAATCCCAGCACTCGGGATAAAAGGCAGGCGGATCTCTGAGTTTGAGGCCAGCCTGGTCTACAAAGCGAGTCTTGTAAGCAGGCATGGTGGCTCACATCTGTAATCCCAGCACTTGGGAAGGGGAGGTAGTGCTGCAGTTTGAGACTCATCTGGGCTAAGTACATAGCAAGACCCTTCCTCAAAAAGAGAAATTATGGAGCCCGGTGGTGGTGCACAGTTTTAATCCCAGCACTTGGGAGGCAGAGACAGGTGGATCTCTGTGAGTTCAAGATCTATGGAGCAAGTTCCAGGACAGGCTCCAAAGCTGCAGAGACACACTGTCTTGAAAAACAACAATAAAAACCAAACAAAACAAAAGATAAGTTATGTTCCTCGTTGGAAAAAACAAAACAGGAACTGTTATAATAAAAGCTGTAACTTTTCTGTGAGGTCAGGCTCTCTCTCTGGGGTAAATATGAGTGAGCCTAGAGATGGAGGAAGTGAGTCCAGCCCGCCCAGAATCAGCACGGGATCAGCACGGTGGCTGCTGATGAGGGAGAGCGAGACAGCCTAGACTGTCGGTGTGGGACTGGAGAAGAACTGAGCCGTGTGGAGGGGAACCTGTGGCCTGAGGGCACCATCAGCACTTCTCAGGGGACGGAGACCGACGTCAGCATCTGCCGAAGTCAATACTTCTAAATAAAGAGTTGTTTAGATTTATGTGTAATGGTTTGCCTTTATGTGTGTGTGTGTGCATATATATGTTTGTGTGTGCGTGTGTATAAAATGTTCCTGTGGAGGTCCCAGGAGGGTTGTCAGGGCCCCAGGTCCTGGAGTTCCACATGATTGTGAGCACCACACGAGTCCTCTGCAAGAACAATCGCTCTAAACTGCTAAGTCCTCCCTCCAGCCCTCAGCCACTGATTCTAAAGCCTTTTTTTTAATAGTTAAAAC